CATAGTGCGATACAGTTAAAACAAAGTATTTATAGAAGTAAGAATAGATACCTTGGATACAGGTAAACTTATCAACGGATTCTCTATCATCTCTTTTTTTTTTTCGTTTCATTTAATTGGTCTATGTTATAGTTTTATAGGATAATAAGATGCGTTACAAGAAATCCTTTATTTTTCAACCTAATCGCTCTTTTGACTTCGGAAAAAACTTTCTTTATCAATATACTCTTTCTTCTACACACATCTCCATAATAGAAAATGGTAAAGTTGAAGTTCATTAAAAAAATTGAGAATCCACTCATGGGACCAAGGAAACCCTTCCGCATCAGGCACTAATAAATTTTAACGTCCTAATTAGATCAGGAATCATTCAAATTAAGAACAAAAGCTCGTTGCTTTTTCTTTCCCTATAATTTAGTTGAAGCGCAGCCCTATCCATTTATTCATTTCGACCCAACTTTATTTTGTTCCGTTCCAAGAATTCTAACACGGTTTTATACCCATCTAGGAACAATGAAATATTTGCAGAACTTTCCGTTGATACGACATGCTATTTTTACCATTCATTCCCTTTCAGGATCAGTCGTGGTCTTCCAAACTTTACCGAGAGTATGGACGAATCCCTCACTTCATCCATATGTGTAAAAGACACTAGCCACACTTAAAAGCCGAGTACTCTACCGTTGAGTTAGCAACCCGAAGAAAATATTGAAAAAATTGTGTAGATCCAATCCGAAGAAAAAGAAATAAGAGATTAGACAAACAAAAACCATTGAAAGAAGAAATCTCAAAAAATACATTCACACTTTCTACTTAATTTAAAATTTAAAACTACTTAATTTAAAACATAAAATAAAACTAAATAGATCCACTTCATTTATCACAATGAATTATATTTGTTCGATACACTGTTGTCAATATAAATATTGAATATTGAAAAAAACAAAAGAAATTTCAATTGAAAACAATAAAAAGATAAAAAAAAAAGGACTTGTGTTGGATTGGCACCAAATCGAATCCAAATAAAATAGATACAAAAGTATAGATGGGAGAATAAATAAAGAATAAGTGGAAAACAAAACTACAATTTACTTAGATTTATTGAATCCATAATGGATTCAATCAAGTTAAGAATGAGATAAGCAAACTTGATTTCTTTTAGCTTTAGTAAGAGTTCCAATGAAGAAACGACCACCCAATTGAAGGAAATGTCCGAATTTTTTATTTTGAAGATCAATAAAATCAGATGTTTTGTCGTTATAGAACACGGAATTCAATGGAAGCAATGATAAATAAATACAAATAGAAAAGGAAAGGGAGGAAATACAAAAAAATAGAAGAGAAAAGTCATACAAAGTTGCTATACAAATCACTACCCCCTTTGTATTTCCTTAATTTATTTCCTTAATTGAATTTCGGTTGATTAGGACGAAGTTCCTTAAAAACCTCCGCCTTCTTTAAAATATCCTGAACAGTTCCTGTAGGTTGAGCCCCTTTTCAAGGAAATATAAAATAGCAGGAACATTTAAATAAGTTTGATTCTTTATCGGATCGCAAAAACCCACTTTCCGAAGATCTTTTCCTTCTCTCTTCAGGATCGAACATCAATTGCAACGATTCGATAGACGGCTCATTGGGATAGATGTAGATGAACAACACCCCCTAGAAACGTATAGGAAGCTTTCTCCTCGTACGGCTCGAGAAAAATGATTGATTCGAGGTTTTGTCTCTGTATGGAATTCTATCTAAGAAATGACAACTGGGTCCATAAAATGATCAAATCAATTAAAGATGTAATGTAAATCTTTTTTTCTTCTTTCTTCCTGAAAATGAAAAAGAAACCATTCGTACTCTCATAACTCCAAGTTGGATAACTTTCAAACAGTTCAAAGGAAAACCTTTGGCAATTTCATTTATTGAGTGGTCTTTCCTCCTTTTTTGTTTGTCTCGTTTAAATCGATTTGGATTCTTCAGTCTGATCCAGTTATTAAGACAATTTAAAGGTGTTTCCTTGTTCTGGGATCCTTTATCTTTGTTTTATTTTAAATCATTGGGTGTTTAGACATTACTTCGGTGCCTTTTAATCCTTTCAAAATGGCAACATACCCCTTTGTGATTTCTATGAAAGAATCCTACAAGACAGTGGATTCCCGCGTGAAACACTTTGGATCGAAAAGTTTGATCAATTCCAAGAAATTTTGAATTTGAAACTTGCTCGAATTGGATTCTTTCGATTTCCATACCGAAGATATATTTACAGAGATTGTTTCAATTTTTATTGATTGGCATTAACCCTAGACCCTTGCCCCGAGAAATAAATTAATACTTTCTCGAGCTCCATCATGGACTATTTACATTCAAGACAGCAAAAAACGAGGGTTCTAGTGAAACAGAACCAATGATGTCGAGCCAAGAGCACCTTCATTCCTACATAAAATGGTGGATGTACAAATCCACATCGGATCGTGTCCTTCAAGTCGCACATTGCTTTCTACGCATCGTTTCAAACGAAGTTTTACCATAACATTCCTCTAAGAACCGGTATGGAATTGATTCAATTATGGAATCATGAATAGTCATTGGTTGGGCTGATGTATAAGCACCTAATCTATGATTATTTTCTATATCTTCTATATAGAAAATAATAGAAATACTATAGATATAGGTGGATAAAGATTTTTCTGAAGAAATCGTAGTAAGACCCCATCGCTAATATTAATTTGTCTAACATATTAATTAATATATATATAATAAATAATTTTTTTATATAAATACTAAATAATAATAAATAAGACGAATAAATGAATTCTTTTTGATTCTGCATCTTCACGTGACTTAATAGGAGAATTGACCTATTTCATACGTCTTCAAATAGCAAAGATTCAGCTTCTAGGAATGATTAAAACGATTTCTCTTTCGAAATTTCGAAATTTCGAAAGTTCCCTTTCGACATCCTTATTAGAGAAAATTTGATAGTTAAAAAAAACTTTTGATCATCTTAGGAAAAAAGATAAGTCTTTTTTTAATTGAATCATCAACGATTAACATTTTTTATGAGATGGATAAAAAAGATTAATGTAAGGTAAGATTTTATCTTATTCTTTTTTTCATCTGATTGATAAAATCAACGAATGAGGAGGGTTTCGTATCTATCAATTCGATCAAATAGACCGAGCAGTTGTCACCGTGTATAGATAATGTGAAATGAACGCCTTCCCATTACTGATTAACTCCTATCTACCCATTCTATGGGACTGATGCAGCATAAATCGAAGAAAAGAGAGTTGTTCTTAGTCTTTTTTATATTTACGAAATCCATTTATAGATATTGTAATGAACACCTTCCTATTACTGATTAACTCCTATCTACCCCATTCTATATAACTGATGCAACATAAATCGAAAGAAAAGAAGGGGATGTCCTAGTCTTTTTTATTTTTACGAAATGCAAATTGTCTAGGCAGAAAGCCAAATAAGTCTAGATTAAGTCAAAATTTTGCTCCTTTTTTTGATATTTTAGCCTAACTCATTGATTAAGAATTAAGACTTAGTGAATTTAATTAGTACCAAAAACCCCCTCTTGGCGAAAAGTCAAGAAATCTACAAAAAAGAAAATTGAATCTAATTAGGCTAATTTAGGGGGTAGAGAATACGAGATAGGGAATATGGATTCTTTCGCATCTCGATTCAGTTTTTTACAAAAGAAATGATTCAGTGAAGAAAAAAATAAGAAACAACAATCACATTCTAGCTTAAATTTCGATTTTAAACAGAACATTATTAAAAAACCAATTTGTATTCTCTAAGAATATATATGGTCTGGAACAGAAGGACTCGAACCTCCGAATAGCGGGACCAAAACCCGTTGCCTTACCACTTGACCACGCCCCATTTAGATTTCTATGCGATACTAATTACTAATAAAGCATATTGCTGGTTTTGTTTGTTTTTCAACTCTAGTCCAAATATCTATCGCATAGATTAGATTGGTACTATGATTTATCTATGTTTTTGTTATGTGTAGATTTAGAATTCAACTTAATTTATTGATAATTACATATAATTCAATTAACATATCGTATGAAAATATGATTTATTCGATTCTCCTTTTCTCAAAGGAGGATTTTTGATTGAGTGGGTTCAAAGAAAAATAAGGATTTTTTGTTTACCTTACTTACTTTCCTTTTCCTTATATCAATAACTCAATCAAAATGCAATTATCTCAAAGAATAAAAAGTCCATTATACTTAATACCTTTAGTTTGATCGGTGTCTGTCTTAATTCGATCCTTTATTCGAATAGTGTTTTCTTAAGCAAATTGCCCGAGGCCTATGCTTTTTTGAATCCAATCGTAGATATTATGCCAGTCATACCTCTGTTCTTTTTTTTCTTATCCTTTGTTTGGCAAGCTACTGTAAGTTTTCGATCAGATCCTTAATAATATCCTACAAAATTTATAATTTATTCGAGAAAAAATTTAAAAATAAATAAAATCAGATAAGCTTTACCGTTTGAAACCTCGATTCAAACATTGAAATTCTTGGATAGTCACGAGAAATCCGGATTAACTTAATTTCCTTATTTTTTGGCGCTTTTCTTTCCAGTGAAAGACCTTATTAGGCTCCTCTTGTGTATATAAAAAATTTGGTTAATGACAAACTCTTATTAGAAAAGAATTTCTTAAAATTCTTTTAGAGAAAGA